GCGCCCGCGCGCGCCGCCGCCGCCGCCACACGCGCCCTGCCTTCCTTGCCCTTGCCCGGCCCTGTTTGGATCCCGAGCCAAGCCCGGGCTTTCTCAGAATTGTCACGGTGGCCCTGGTTCCAAATTCCCGACAAAATGAAGTCTGGGAGGGAGGGGGCGAGCTCTCCAAAATGGATGTTTGAGCAATTGCTGAGCTGGGCTCCAGGACTCCTTCTTGGAGCCCTGCTGCTCAAGCACAGCCTGCCGGCCACGGGCTGTAGCAGCCACGGAGCCAGGGCCTGCAGTTACTGGAAGTTGCTAGATCGGAGTTTAGTCGGAGATCCTTAAGAAAAGGGTTTATTCTCTGGACTAGTCTTTTGTATGCGGGAATTCACTTTTTTACTGACCGTTCAAAATTGTTGAATTTCACTGTGCACACCACTGCAAATTTGCACCAGATTTCCTAAGTAAGATGAGACCTATAGAGACTATTAATGATAATACTTCAGCTTTTGAAAATGAATATTAGTATTGCAGACAAAAGTACAAGAATTTTATTTACATGCATGTTAACGCTTTCAATACTTAAAATAGAGATAGGTCGTCAAAACTTATTTTTACTGTGACTGTTACTCTGTTAAGTTTGGTGGGGTTCTTTTGGAACTGTTTTCATGGTGTAGGTGTAGGACTGGGATGAGTGGCAAAGTTATAACAATACAAAATTAGTAAGATTATAGGTTTAATTGTGGATTTTACTTTGGGTCGTTTCTGCAGCTTTAGCAGTGTTAATCTATTAAAGTTGAAAACCTCAGTCAGACTTCTTGAGGTGTATTATAGGAATTGGTCTATGTAGTGATGTTTTGAATAGGCACTATAGTTGGCTTATAATTGATACAGATTTAATATTTGGTATAGTAGCAAATACTTTGGTTAAACTACATTATTGGTAAATACACTTATAATTGTAATTTCACACTATACTCTGGATGATGTGAATAGTTTCAATATCTGCCCTGGTAAACAGATTAAAATATAAAGCATAACATTGTTAAGAAGTATCATATTTTTAATCTAGAAATTAGTAAACCCCTCTGATAAACTCTCTATTCTCCAAGTTTCAAAATAAATGTTTTGGTTATCTTAACAAATCATTGCACAAGTAAAGTTGAATAACATTTCTTCTACCTTTATTTTTACATTTCAAACAAAAAAATTTTGTAGCTCTTAATTTACTAGGTTTAGGTGTCAGCTTACAGGTGGGGGAGGGGAGAAGTGAAGAAGGAACTTAAAGTTGAAAATGTTATGCATGTTAAGTCTCACTGCCAGGAGTAGAAATACTCTTCTCTTCAATTGTAGCCAACTATATTTGTAGCCAGATATATTTGTATAGCATTGTTTAAGTCTTTTCCTGAATTATCAAATATCTATTGGGAATACCTTTCTAACCAGATAAACATGAACTATAATCAATCTAGGAAATTGAGATTTATCAAACACCTTATAATTTGCCAATCAAAATAAATTTAAAATAGTTTTGCTACAAAAAAACCTATAAAGTGTATAATTGAAATTCTTGTACCTGTGTATAGATATTCTCACTGTGAGTAAAGGTGGTAGGAGTAGCTTGTATGTTTCCCTGAACTCTGATGGGGAAAAAGTTGTTTTCTGATTCACAAGTGAATTTCAAGACTTTTTTCATTGCACCTCCAAGTATAATGAGGCAAGTTTATTTTTTCCATTTAAAAACGGGCTTAGAGAATACTTCATTACTCAAATCACTGGGAATCATGAGAGGGACATGAGGGTTTTTTGGTAATTGTGTTTTTAAAAATTATATTGTGGAATAATTTTAGGTCTACAGGAAGTTGGAAACACAGTCGAATTACCTCACACCCTTCATCCAGCTTCCCCAATGTTAACTAACATATTAGTGTTTGTCCAAACTAGGAAATTAACATTGATCAACTATTACTAACTACAGAGTTTATTTGGAGTTTCCTAGTTGTTCCATTAATGTCCATTTTCTGTTTTCAAATGAATTCAGGATACCTCATTGTATAAAGTGTATGTTTAAAATACACACATGCAGTTCAAATTTATGCTAGTTTAGTTTGGTATTTCAAGAGTAAGGAGGTCTTAAGAAGCCAATCAGTGACACCCAAGATGGAGTTTAAATAATTTGAATATTGAATTTGTTATCGAAGTATCCCAACTAAGGGTGTTTGTTTACCCTTAGTATAGTGCTTAAGAGGTCTAATCACAAAATGGACTTACCTACAATGTCCTGCAATACAGACTCCCAAAGATGATGTTACAGCAAGGTTTCTTAATACTAAAAGCTGTGTTTTGTGATAAACCAAGAAATAGAGAGTAGCAGCTATTAAGTTGTCCAAATGTGAATTTATGGGTTAATTTCATTTGCATTTGAGTGAAATAAGCTAAGCAAGAAATATGAGAAGTATTGCTTAATGTTTGTTATAAATCTAGTGTTCACCAATTTAACAAGTAAATATGAACTAAAAAGTGAATATTATCCTATTTTTTTTAAAGACGTTTTTACAGTTACTTAAAATAAGACCTATGGGATTAGGATGTGGCTCAGTGGTTGAGTTGCTTGCCTTAGCATTCACAAGGCCCTGGGTTCCATCTCTAGTCTTGCCAAACAAAATAAAATAACAAAAAAGCCTACAGTCATTGTAACCAACTTATTGAAGTCTGTTTGAGTTCTTCCAATGTTTCTTGAAGATTTTACTTGAGTATTTGCTTAAGAATGGTTTTTAGTTCGAGTCTACTTTAGCTTCATACTTGCTTTTATTTTCAGTTACATTCTTCCTTTGCATGTTTCTGTCTTTATAAAATCTATCTGTGGGGGCTGAAATTTATCTTTCCAAAATGCTATACAACTATTGTGAATCTTCCTTTACTCTCCCCCCCCCCCCTTTTCCATGTGTACTAAGAAGGTAGACTTTTTTTTGGTCCGTTGTTGGGCTTGAACTCTGGGCCTGGGCACTGTCCCTAAGCTCTTCAGCTCAAGGCTAGCACTCTACTACTTGAGCCATAGTACCACTTCCAGTTTTCTAGTGGTTTATTGGAGATAAGAGTCTCATGGATTTTTTTTGCCTGGGCTGGCTTTGAACTCTGATCCTCAGATCTCAGCCTCCTGAGTAAGTAGGATTACAGGCTTGAGCCACTGGCGCCCAACCAGTTGCATTGGATACTGCTCTTCTATATAATGAATTGTTATAGCAGCCTCACTGCTGGTACTATCAACCACCCAGGGCTAATGTAGGTTCTGGTTCTTTGTACCTTGTTGGTTATGCTTTCAGAGAATTCGCATGTCTTGTTACAACTTTTTACAACAACATCAACTTTCATGATAGCTGCTCTGATATTTACCCAATAAGAATGTGAGAGTTACTGAAAAATGCTTTTGCTTTTTGTTTTGTTTTGTTTATAAACTTTTATAGAAGGTTGTCTTGCTCTTAAGCCAATAGATATATTTAAGTTTTCACCTGGATTGTGTGTTTTTAATGTCTGTTTTATTTATGGTGTTTCCAAGTCAACTTTT